TTAGCTATTAAAAGCTAATTATGGGGGGGGGTGTCTCAAACTTTGCAGGGTCATGATTCCTTGAAATGATAAATGAATTTGTATGAACCATTGAAATCCAGTTTACAATAAAACAATAATTAGTAATAACCCATCATCTAAATAATTTTAATAAACTTTATATTTTTGAAAAGATCTCAAACTTGTGTGGGTTTGAGAAATGAAAACAAAAATAGTGAACTGATAAATAAGTACAAATACATAGTAAAATTAAGGATCACTTTCTTAGTTAGGCACAAGCTGTTACAACTGATTGCATATAATAAGCAGAGTATATAAAAGTAGAGAATAATAGCTAAGAATTCTAACAAAGATGTGTCACTGCCACAAATATAAATGGGATATGTAATTCGGTCCTATACATGCTTACCATGTAAATTCCACTCAAGTCAGTGAAACTTGCTTCTGAGAGAATTGTTATAAGATTGCATAGCAATTTCCACATAAATTGGATTAGGATTGCATCTTTGACTTCACATTCATTTGTAGGAAGAAGACATGAAGCTGATGAGATAAACCTATTTTACCAACAAAGAAAAATATTTCACCTCAAAAAGCTTTGTCCATCTGGATTTAACCTGACAAGTTATGGAGAATTTGTATTTTTGCCTTAGTGCAGAAAATCGAGTAAGATGGCTTGATGTAACTTCCTTTTAATCTATGTTTATCTAAATTGACCATTCATGTGTATTATTCATTAATATTATTTTATTTTCTGTGACAAGAGTTGCTCTTTTCCACATTGTTAAATCATTGTCTTCCTATCATGATTTTTAAAAGTTTACTTTTTATTTTCCATATAATTTGAAGAAAAAAACAGAATATATGAAAATGGTTTTTAATTTTTTTTCAAATAACTTTATTTCATGTTGAGAGTCACATATTAATAGAAATTTTATTTAAATATCCTTGTAGAGTATGAAAAGTGGGAAAGCCTTATTCTATAGATAGTATGTCATAGACATTATATATATCTTTGGCAGGTACACTGGAGCAAGTTCCCTAGAATGATTTTAGGAACTAAGTGGGATGAAATATCCCAATGACCTATTAATTTATCATTTTTCTACTTAAATATGGAATTTGATGGTTACAATAGCAGTGTTCTCACAGATGTTCAACAATAAACATTTCAGCTTCTCCAGGTCAGCCAAATATCAAAGTGACTGGAAATTCTGAAGTGTTTCAACATCAGGAAATAAAGCCTGAAATTTGTTGAATTTTCCAAAATGTTATTTAATATAAATTATAAGAGTAATAAAAAGAGTAGAATAGAGATGTGTGGTGAACAAGTAGATTCATTTTAAATGTTACTTCTATTTTTCCATTTTCTACAAAATGACTATTTTAATATGAGGCGGAGAGAAATCCCACGTTTCAGAACAATTTAGTCTAAAAATATTAACATCTGCAGGCTGTGTTATATTCTAATTTTTATTATCCAATAACATTCCCACCAAGGATTCATTTCCATCTTGAAAGTTCTGAAGAGTGTTATTTAACAGTGCACCCAGATCATACACTTTTGTGTCATAAATATAAAGCCATTTCTATATGACAGATATATTTCTTATAAGGTAAGCTTTCTGGATACAAAATATACTTTGTCAGATCATGTGCGCTACACATGGGTTTCTGTGGGAGAAAAGGAAATGTTTCCAACATTACCAGTAAGTAACGTAACTTTTGTTCCTGCATCAGATGTCACAATGCAGTTACTACAGTAACATTGTCATTTCCCAAAGCATAAGCCATTTTGACATCATAGCTTCAAACAGATGCCTATGAAACTACAGCTGCTTAATTACTGTTAGTTCAAGAAAATTTACTATGACTAATCTATTTAGTAATACTTCTTTGCATCCAACCAGATCCATAGCCAATTCACTTGCTAGAGAGTATATCTCTACTTATAATAAAGCTGTATTTCAATTACCTACTGGAATATATTCAAGATTCTACACGACACCCTGCAAGTTTTCTTGTCATTTTTCCTTCATCTCTGAAGGGACATAAAAACTACACAAAAATAGTTCAATGGTGCATCATGAAATTACTAGTCCAGAGCCATTCAAAGTATGCATTGCAGTTTGCATAAATTGAACTTAATAAGAATGATTGCTTCCAAGCTACGTAGCTACAAATAACCATTTTAAAGCATTGTCATTTTTGATACAGCTTTTTTCCCCCATTGCTGATATGTAAATTTGTAGATTTTTTTTTTTTTACTGAAGAAGTAACTTCTCAATACAGGGCGTATGTGAAAATTGTTGCTAAACATGAATAAAAGGTGTTGAGCCTTTTATCTGCAGAGCTGTGTGAACAGCCTCACTCCTGTACCTCAGCCTATTAGTGAATAAGCATGGAACACAATTCATAAATATTACATCCTGCATTTTATTCAATTTCATGTGACAAAAATAGTAACCTAGACTAAGACATCCATTTCAATCAGTAGATGTGTCGAGCCAACAGATTTAATCATAAAAAATATTGGATCTAGGTAACAATTCCCAGCTGGTTCAGGGAGGCTCCTAGCCCTACATGGTATCACAGTATAAAAATAAGTGTCTCTCTTCACCATGCAGAGAGGAAGGACCTAACCCTGAATACAAAGTGGGGTCAGTCTTACTGTACCTTCATCAGCCATCTTATTTACAACACTTTACATCTCTTTTTTAAAATATGCACATCCTTTAGGGAGAAGAAATAACACTACATGGTACCAAACACTAAAAAATAAAGCACACCAGAAATGGACACAGATAAATAAAAACATTCATTTTGCTGAAAAAAAACAGCAACACTAAGCCACCTCAGTTTTCTTTGTTTTCCAATTTTGAAACACCCCAAACACAAATGTTGCTCAATCATTGATAGAATGTGTTTTTAATATACAGATGTGTATTGGTGTGTGGTATGTCTACGCACATTCACACACACACCCCACATACATATTTAATAATATGTACATGTCCATATTTATATTTTATCTATCATTGCCGTAGAAAACAGAGCTGTAATAATTCATTGTTCATTTCAAAATAGTAACAAACCACTAGTAAGTCTTTTAAACTTTCCATTCAGTGATATGATGGCAGAAACAGTCCATCCTCTTATAGTAATGTTTTGTTGTGGTTGCACAAGAAAGAGATTGTCCTATTTTTCTTCCAGTCACAACTGAGAAGACCTCACTGTCTGATTCTTTCTTCAGGGGCATAAACATTGTGTGCTGTTTCCCAGCTACCCATAATGTCCCTTGAACAATTTTGTTGAAAGGAGGATTCTACTGTCAAGATTCCACCATGCTTGTAATGCACAAAAATGAGGTAGTACACAAAACATTTACTGTTCAAGTTTTGATTATGCCCCAGCCTCACCAACACTCTAGTTTCAGAGTGGAAACATTCCGTTTAGTCACAATTTTAAACAATGCTTTAAACACATGAAAATTATATTAGCGTATTCAGAGTACATTGTGCTTTGTAGTAAATCTTCGAATATTAAATAAAACAGAGAGATTGGGAATTTACGTACAAGTTTTTAGAATTTTTGTTTTCTGTTTTGCTTTACATACCAGTGCTATTAAGCAGTCAGCATCGAGTTTGTGGGTGGGAGTGAAAGAGACAGAACCGATTACAGCAAAATTAAGCCTACACAATGTTTTCTTTAGCCTCTCTTAGACTTGCACTGATATCACAGCCCTAAGATTAACATATCAAAGGTCTGTTGGAGGGTGGGCTTACAAAAAAGTTAAATGAATCATTTTGGTCTAAGAAGTGGCAGGCCCCATTATATCCAAGAATCTGACAGTTCTTAGCAGATTTTTTTATTATTATTAAAAGGAGCACAGATCTTTCATACTGTTTGACCTTAAAGACAAACACAACAAACCCTTCTCCCATTTTTCCTCAAGCCAAAGTACTATTTATAAAATAGTTTACATCTTTGTTCAGATTCAAATTATAGACAAACCTCCCTAAATATAAAATACTAAAAGTGCAATAGTATAAATTAAGAGTTTGCAACCACATTATACAAACACTGCCTTTTATTGTACAGCCTTTGATAACATGAAGTGTTTTATTCACAACTGCTTATAGTGTTGTGAATAATCTACTGTAATAAGGTTTGTCTGTAACTTGTTTTTCCAACTATGAACTGAAGTTCACACTACACTTTTTCCATTTAATAGAACAACTGTCCACATAGCAGCTACAAAGATTTAAATTAAAATGGTTTGTTACTGACAGGTACTTGCACATTGAAAGCATGCTATCTTTCCCAATAAAACTTCACAATTTTGCCTGCATCAAAATAAACCACTTATTTATAGTAAAACAAAACTTGCTTTAAAAAAAAGTCACATAGCCAGGTGTATTTTGCCATACAAAAGCTTCATTTAAGAATGGGGCTAGTATATTGTCTGTTACCCGCATTATCTTTACATTATAAATACTACAGACAAGAATACTGTAATCTTAGACAGCATTAGGGTACTAAATCACTTATTGAATGTTAGAGGAATTCTAAGAACAGTTCAAGTTTTTAGTTGAGAAGAAGAAAATCAGCAAAGATAGAACTGGACTGAAATGCCATTGTGAAACCCCATTTTTACTCAACTGGTGGCATCTTTGCTTTTTCTGAAGCAAAATTTGAAACATTTTGGCCTCCTTCAGTCCCTAATGGAATTATCCAATGATTTATCATTTGCTTAAATTTTAAAAAAAAAGGTTCATAAGTTCTCACTAATGGTCAGGTCACTGTTGAAGTAGTACCATGCAATCTTGCGAGACAACTTTTCAGCAGACACAAAGTTATTGTATTTCTGCTATTGATAAATCATAAGAGTTATCTAGGCAATTAGGCCACAAAACTAAAGTTTAATTCTCCAAACTGTACATGAAAGAACAAATGTTGTATTTGAGCAGTGGTCCAACAGTTATTTGTACTGAATGCTTTTAATTTATGCCAATCTCTTTATTATCCTCAATAAACCTTGTGAATGGACGGTTGGCTCCCGTTTCAGAACTCGCTTTGTCCAAGCCAATGATGGGAGGGCTACTAGCAGTACGAGCTTTGTCCATTCCACTGGAAACGTTACTTAAAGACGGAATGGCACTTCCGCCTAAACTTACTGGGAGCTGGGGAATGCCTCCGTTCTGTATGACAGAAATTTCATTGTTCTTCATAGCAAGTCCATTAGTAATAGCTGCAGCATACTGGTTCCAAAAATTTGGGTCAACATTCATTGCCCGAGCTGCTAAATCCTTCTGGAACATTTCTGAAAACTTCAAAGCATCCCCACCTAACAAAGCCATGGGATTTTCCACGGACAGTCGACGCCCACGCCGTGCAGGAGCATTATTCCACATATGAGTTCCCATGTGAACCTTAAGAAGAAGAACAGACAGGGAAAAAATGGGCAAATGAGCAAGAAGATTTGCACAATTTACAAAGATGCAGGCACACATTTTAAACTGGCAATAGAAGACATTCTAATTTCACAATTTAAAATGTCAAGTAATGCTAAACATTAACTTTCTCATGCACAAATTACTAATTGTTCAAGATTATCAGGCTTACGGAAGTTACGTATTTCAGGGAGCTTTTAATGTCCTAAACCTGTAAATCTTGTTAACTTTTTAAGAATTAATATATGTGAATTTTTGCAACTCAATTACCAGTATACTCATTTACTTGGGAGCAATAACTTCTGTTATATGAAGTTTCCAACAAAGCAACTACGCACAGATGCCCCTGCCCAATAACACTAGACCCATGGCAAATTATAAAATAAAAAGGATAAAGAAAAAATTATCTCTTTTTGCTTGTTCTCCAAATAAACATTTTTTTTTCTATTTGTAATAGTCTGAATGCAAACTGTCAAGCAAAAGGAATTTTCTGATTCAGCTCGCATGCAAGTTTTCATTTTCTCCTAAAAATAGTTCCAGATGTTCAAGGACCTTCAGAGTATCTTCTAGAGGTACTGAAGACTGGTCTAACAAGACTAAGTATATTCTGTTTACATTAATAGACCTTTTCTACCCAAACTATTAGGTTTGATTCATCTAAAATTGCCAAGGACTAAATATCTTAAGAAACATTCAAATATATTTGTTACAACTCATTTATTTTGCACTACTTATAAACAGATTTTATATAGCTATATATTAGAGTTGGGCTAACATCAGTTACAGGACTTTTCCTTGATTTGCCTATAATCGTATAATTACCTGGATTATGTGGAGATATAAAAAGCAATGGTCTACTTTTCACGTTTCTTTAGTATAAAAAACCCTTAAATAATAGGGGGGGAAAAACGCCACTATAAATATCAAGAAGGCCTTCTTACAGATCATTTGCCAATTTTGAAGAACTGCATCCCACTATGTAACCTTAGTACCTGGAAAATACTACTGAAAGTCCTGCTTCTCTAAGACACAATGGTGAAAGAAGCTGCAATCTGAAACTTTTGCAGGAAAATGGGATGAAAATTGGTTCATTAATGTGGACTTAACATTATTTCATGAACTGAATCTTTTTTAGGATTCTTAATTTTAACTATTTTTGAATATTAATAATCCCAAGAGTTCAAAAACCACTATTAAAAAAGGAGGAAGAAACACTCTGTAAAAATAGAATACCTTGTCCATGAAAAGAGAATTCACTTGGTTTTGAGATGGGCAGCTGTGTAAATATGATAAATGAATAAGTAAGATTTTATTTTTTGATGTGTGATGATATATACGGAATATTTGATTTTACATTGATTTAGAATGGTGGGGTTTGGAGATGAGGCCAAATCATCAGCTTGATGATGAATGAGAATGAACCACAATCTTGCAAATCTCTTCTCTCCCTCCACCTCCCAATGTGGGTTCAAGAGTTTTAGAAGAGTTCACATCCCTCGTTGATTAGCTTCCCCATGAACTGTCATTTGAACCTGACAATCAACCTGGACTGATCTTCAGATTAACTTAATGAAATTGGCCTGTCCCCATTATTCACAAATAAGATTACATACCATTTAATACTAAACTGTAGTTTAGTATTAATCTAAATATTAAGCTCTAGTCACTAACAAGGAGGGTAGGGGAAAGCAAGTGAAACCCTATAGCTTGCCAAAAATCGTTTATATTCAAAACAATACTTTAGCCTAACATCCAAATTCAATCCATTTCTCCTGCTCCGATTTGGTCTCAAGGAAGATGAAGAGGAGGAGCCAGCATCTGCTGAACAATCAGGTTCAATGTGAGCCCTTTATGTATTTTTACAGGATCTCTTTTAATATGAAGTTTACCTTCTTACCTTAAGATTCCCTTTTGTGGTAAAAGCTCTACCACAGATAGTGCATCCAAATGGCTTTTCACCAGTATGGGTGCGTTCATGTATCTGTAGTGCACTTGCTGAGGAGAAGGTCTTCCCACATGACTGACAGTTGTGTTGTTTTGGAGTTCGACGTGGTGGGGGTGCCAGCATAGGGGTGATGCTAGGACTCATCACTGTCTGTGGTACAGCAGGAACCTGGATTCCAGCTGGAAGCGATGGAACCTCGCCCAATGAGATCGGCTTGCTGTGACCATTCACTTCCATTTTGATCATAGTAGGCGCAGTGCTGGTGACCAGGCTAGGAGTACTTTGGATGGGACCTAGAGTAAAGTTGGGTTCAAATAACTGAGAAGGCAGCTCTTTTAATTTGTGTGTCAGTAAGTGCTGTTTTAAATTACCCATAGTGGAACACCCACGATTGCAGACTGTACATACAAATGGACGCTCTTTAGTATGGCTGCGGTAGTGAATTTCCAATGCACTCTTACAAGCAAAAGGCTTGCCACAGACATTACAAATGGTACTTTTAAACTTACCGCGTTCTCTGTTCAGGAACAGCAGGCTAAAAGGACCTTCTTCTTTGATGATTGGCCTCCCGGGGTTGGTGGCTGTCAGATCCAGCGCGCCTCCATTTTCAATAGTAGGGGGTGGTGGGGGACTGTCAGATTTTTCTGTCTTTAATTGTATTTCTTGTGGTTCCTCGTGGTTACTGACACCTGGTGACTTAGATCTAAAACTTTCACAGTTGCTATTTTCAGGAGAGAGAGCTTGCATGGACGAAGACGATTCTGACATAGCAGGACTCCCTGCGCTCTGACTTTCCAGATCTCCAACAGCTGATGAAGAATCATTGCTTAAGTGGTCACTTTCCCCTGACCCATTTTCTAAAGATTTTAAATTGGTCAACTGTTGGCAGTTCATGACAGAATCAATCATTTTCATTTGATTCTCAAGAGCAGCAATGCTAGAAATTACA